CGTGGTGGCTCCTTTGGTCGAGGCAATACTCGTGGCCGGGGAAGCGGTGGTCGAAGTAGTAATCGAACTGGTGGGCGTGGTTGTACAAGTGGAAGTGGTGGTCGGGGGTGCCTTCAGATTCACCCCACGTGGCCGCGGAAGTGGAAACCCTCGCCGTACTCAGGAGACTAATGTTCGTGTTTTCAAGTCCGTTAGGGAGCTGGAATGAAGTGCTCGTAGTTTGAGTGGTCGGAACGTGATAAGAATGGAACCGGGGAACCATATTGTGGCGTGTAATCATGTTTGTGTTGATGTGTGGCGAGGAGGTTCATGGCTAAGCAACCTATTGTAGGGTTGTTTGATAAGATGTTTGTGGCAGTTATGATGGGCACGGTGGAGAGCAAGCTACGAAGATGCCCGGCTCGATGTCAATGTGCCTAGCAACCAGAAAAAGGATGAGCGTGACGCCATAAGCTAGCCAGCAAGCACGATATATACCCCCAAAGAAGACAGTTGCCATCTGCGTGGAGTTACAAATCTTTCTGGTAGTTTACAGGTTGACTAGTGACTATTGGTTCATTCTGTAGCTTTGGTTTAGTTATCATGCAATTGGTGATACCCACTAGCAACTGTTAACACTTGGAGCCTGCATTCCTCCCTTCTTTCCGTGGAGCCGTCCAACACCAACGAAGCAATCATTCGAGTGCCCACTAACTGTACCCTTACGATGGCATTCTTCGGAATGAAGTGGAACGTTTCTGCAGGTGGGCCACCCGAGCCTCTACATGTACCGGTACACCAACACAGAACACACAGCTCTTGACACTGTACCTGGTATTCTTAAACCTGAGGCATGTCTCGGGCATGCCTGAAACACGTCTTCAAATTTGAATTCCGCGGCCCCGCTCCTCCTCCCCTTCCCACATTTTCTCGCACATGCCGAGCACTCACTTTCGAAGCCACCATTGTTGGATGTGAAGTTTACTCCTTTCCAGTCCAACCGTACCGTATTCCTTTCGAACTGTCTTCTTCGGGATACTCCTGCAATCACTATTACCACAGAGACAAACCAGATCGAGATCAACCAAGGAAAAGGAGGAAAAGACAGCATTGATCGTGTCTATCATTTGTCTTTTCGCATCGTCTTTTCCAAGATGCCTCACATTCAACTTCGATATGTAGTAACGCTGGATCATCGAAAGGCGGGTGCCTTGATTGGGAAACTCGCTTGCAAAAACAACTTCAACGAGCATTCGTTTCAGGTCATGGCATTGATGCTCAAATCCTGGGCAGGAATCCCTCTCACCAGACAAGAGCTTCACAAGTATTCCTTCCAGATACACGACAAGAACTTTACTGCAGGCGAAGATGGTTGGTACGAGGAGGCGCGAAAGTTGAACATTGTCGCACTTCCACAAAAGAGAACTCTCAAAAACTGCTACGTGCTGGTGGTGGATCAAGTGCACCCAAATGCCGCGTCGAGTCCTCATGTGATTGTGGGCGACTTCAGTGTCCACAAGGACGCCAACAAGAGCCGAGTGTGCAAATACGAGAATGCGAGTTGCAAAGACGATGCCAACAACCCAGCTCACAACCCAGAGGACAAGCCAATGCCGCAGCCTTGCCTTTCCAACGAGAAAGTTGCAGCTATGGTCAATGGATGTGAAGAGTACAAAGCCTTGGTTCGCTGGTCAGCTTGTACGCAGGTACGCAACGCATTGGCAGTGAACTATGTTCTCATTTCGGAGCACGGAATGAACTTGATGAGAAACGATTATCGTCTTGATGATGATGGAAAAATCAAGACTTGCCGTGCCGACCACGAACATGATATTCCCTACTTTGCCAAAATTGACAACTGGGAGGAACTCATTCGCTACAAAGTCCAGCAGGCGAATGGAAACTCCGGTTTCGAGGCTCGTCAACCGGGCAATCTACGAGCTGCCACTGCGAGAGGCGGCGGTGTTGTTGATCTTCCGGTCGACAGCAACGGAGACGAAGAGTTTGCTGCCGTGGGTGGTGATGGTGGCGGTGAAGCTGGTGAAGCTGGCGAAGCAACTGCGGAGGTCGAAGCCATCCCAGAGGCCGAGGCCGAATTTCCACCGATGCCTCCACTCAACCACACGGCTGCGATTCCACCAGCCCAGGCTGCTTTTCTCACTCAAGAACAAGTCGAGGCAGAGCTTGCCGCTACTGTGATTGAACGGGATGAGCTGCGATCGAAGGTAGATGGACTGCAATCACAGCTTGATGACACCAAGAAAGAGCTGGAGATGAAAGAGAAGTGGTTTTCGCAGCAGCTCCATACTGCTTTGAAGACGGGCTACGAACAAGCCCAGAAAGATTTGCACGACAGTCAAGAGCGTCTCAAGGTGGAGCTAGTCAAGATCAAAACAGAAAATGCAAATCTAAAACTCAAGCTCGCAGAGATCGCCCAGAAAGCCTTGAACCAAGGCCGAGAAGAAGAACAGCCCAAGGCGCAGCCCGCCAATATAGGAAAGGAAAACAAAAGTATGCGGCGACAGCTTGCACAAGGGAAGCCCCGGGTTCCTGATGCTTGTGTCTCCACCGTCAATACTGCTTTTGATGGGAATGGTACAACTGACAAGTCACACCGCGACAAGAAAAGAGCTCCTTGTCGTGAGCGTATGGGTACCGGTACGCCTAGATTAGCCAGCTCTTGATGCACTCGTTTGGATGAGCGATTGAATCATTCTCACCTTGATCTTCCTTTGCCATTGCAACAAGAAACCGACAATCAGCGTGCTGGAAAGAAGAAAAGCAAGCCATCAAACGGAGGAGTCTCTGCAACTCCTAACCCCGTCCGCATGGCACCAATCAAGTGTGAGCCTGTACTGTCCAGCTCACAGGGAGATCTGGTGCCAGGATTCCAACCTTCTGATGGCTGTACCGGTACTGTGATGCGTGTTGTCAAAAAGGAAACCCCACCAGCTCCTTGAATTGATTAGGCCGTCCTCAACAGGAAAATTTGCGTGTGTCGTCTCACACCTTGGAGTTGAGTCCCCTGGCACATCTGGCTGGCTCTAATGAATGGAGAATTGGATACTACAGTTTCGTAATACTTGTAACTTGTACTCGAGAAACAATTTCCGAAAGCAATTTGGGGCATATGGCATATGCTACAAAAGAACGTCTTTCTGAGTCGTACTCGGAGTGACTGTCACTCGTTTATTAAAACAGAAGATTGGCGAGCATTCAGTCTGCATGCACCATAGGAGCTCGAGGGAGCAGGGGGAGAAGAGCCAATGCAAAGCTGGCGAAACCGTAGTCGAGAATAGCTGTACAGTCGAAGCAGAGGACGAGGCCGAATTTCCACCCATGCCTCCAATCAACCAAACGGCTGCCATTCCACCAGCTTCAGCTGCTGAGAGCGATCTGGGAACTCTGCAAGAACAACTCAAAACAGCTCTCTCGGGTCGGGCCGAAGCTGAAGCAGAACTTGCCACTACTGTGATTGAATGGGATGAGCTGCGATTGCAGGCAGATGAACTACTGCAATCGGAGCTTGATGAGATCAACAATGACGAGCAACAGCAACAATTGCCGGGGTTTGCTAGTCTCAAGCTTCGATTTCAGGCCCTTCACTTGCCAATTCAAACCGAGACATTGCCATAGCGCGAGTCAACAATGACAATCCACAACAGCAACCTGGTGGCGCCTGGAATTGATCTTGATAGTCCTCATCATTTCGATTTTGCGCGGAAGCGAATCTCTGCAGGAAACTGCAATCTTGGGTGGCTGGGAAGGGTGGGGGTGCATGCGAGCTTTTGGGGCCAGCAGCCATTTTCTGTCCCAGTCTGTATACAAAAACAACGAAATTCATACAATGTCGGGCTCCAATGAATTGTAAGACTGTACTAGTTCACTCTTTTTCGAAGCAAATCATGTCCGTTTAAGTAGATTGTATTAGTGCCCAGGCTTGGTGTTGTTTGTTTGTCGCCCCAAGACTACGGCGAAGGTTCTGCAGAGGCGGCAACCCACGAGCTGACTGTGGGTGGTAACGGAGGGAGGAAGCGTTTTGAAGGATCCGTGAAAGCACGAGAGCGGAACGCCGAAACTCGAGCTTTGACCGCAGCGCCATGAATTTGTCCAGAACAGATTCCACACATCCATCTGCGTAATGGAAACTTCCTGGGAACTGATAGTCGGAATCGAATCGAATCGTTTGGTTGGATGGCTCAGTATATTGTTTCGTTTTGCATAGTGAAGGCAAAATAATGATGTTGTGGTATAGTTAGCCATCTCCTCGATGTGCAATCTGCCTCTACCGATATATAGCGAGTCCTTGGCAAAAGTAAGCAATTCGCGCGTTTGGCTCCATTCGTCTAGTCTAGAACAATAGCGTTTTCTCTGTTCGTTTGGTGCTCCAAACAAGCAGGCACAATGGCTTTGTCGGAGTGGTAATGTAATCATCATTCCGTCGCAACGTGACTACAAAGGGTTGGATTCTTGGACAAAAAGTAGAACAAGGATGACACATCATTGGACACGGTGGCCAACGTTTCGATCCAAGGACGGCGGTCGGCAGGAGATAGCTGCAGTAGCCTCTTGCGACCCAGTCTGTTTAGTCTCAGGAAAAACTCTTGCTTTTGCAGAAATGTTTCGTCTTCAGCAGCATTGTCGTTGTCGCTGGATAATAATACATTGATTTCCGTCAGAGTCATATTGTTTTCCTGGAGCATGTCAATCATAGCTTCTTGAATGTCATGGTTCTTGGGATGATACGGGAGGTCCAATTTTGTAATGGTGGTGTTCTCTTGCAGTGCCTGGATGACGTGTAGGATTTGTCCATCAATGCGGCATCGCAATGCTTCGTGCCCGACTGTCAAGACCAGAGTAGCTAGAGATGGAGCACTCCGCACAACGTCAGCCAATACTTGTCCCTCAAAAGTGTTGTTGCTTCTGGTTCGTCGTTTGATCATACCCAATTTGACCTTTAGGAACCTCAGGGTGGCGTTAGTGTGTAACTCGGGAGCCGCCGCCACGAGACTTGGTCCGTAGATTGTTATTTGCTGCAGCCGTGAATGTCCACTGATGGATTTCATAGCTTGTATTGCCGGTTGGAACGTGTCATCGACGTCGTCCATGTCGTCTTCATCCTCGTCTTCCTCGTCGTCTTCTGCCTCTTCGACCAGATGTGGTGGTGGTGGTGGCGGTAACCAGCAGTCCCCATGGAATACTGCCAGATTGGGTATTGTCGCAATGGCCTCTAGTACAGGTGAAATTTTGACGGATATGATTTCTTCTGCTGGCAAGAGATTAGCGGTCCCTGGTTGAAGTCCTCTTGGAAAAATGGCTGGCAGAAACTGAATGGCGTGCAACTTTGGATGGCTTTCCAAAACACTGGCAAAATTGTGATAGTCTTGCACAGTTCCTTGAAAGGCTGAACACGAGTAACAGTGCAATCGTTCCAACCGCCGTGCTCTGGACAAGACCATGGTCATACGCTGGATGCATTGTTGTCTGGTTTGAGGACGTGTCCGCTGCCAGGATAACTTGGCCAAGGAGGGAATGCTCCCTAATTCTCTCAAGAATAATTCCACAGTTTCTGGACTCGCACTATTCTCGTCAATGGCAGAAGAGTCAAAGGAAACACTCCTAATCTCCAGCAGCGTCACTCGCAAGGCATCCACAAAGGCCCTCAGACTGGCATCTCCCATTCGAGCTCCACAGGAAAAGCTCATATCTACCGAAGACTTTTCTCGAAAACTCTGCCGCAAACGAGCCAGTGCTTTCTCCATGCCCATCTCATTGTCATCGACTGTAACAGGTCTGCCCATGGTTTGGTTTGGATTGGATTGATTGATTGATTGACTTTAAAAAGAACAATAAGAGGTTGACAAAACAATGAAACAAGAAGCACCGCTGTCTCGATGACTCGACTCGACTCGAAATCATCAACAAAGAAATGCAGAAGCTTCCTTGAAATTTAATCTCATTGATGAAACTTCCGTCACGACTGAAACTTCCGTTCATTACTGAAACTTCCGTTCAAGACTGAAACTTCAGTTCATGACTGAAAATCTCTTTCTATTCACTGAAAATTTCGTTCATTCACTGAAAATAGAGTTTTGCATAACTCACTCGACCTAGATCTAGCTACTGTAGCCAGACTAATGCCTGTCCATCCGAACATGTGACACAAAACACCCGATCAACCCACATTTCCGGGCATCGTGGAATTACGTGCTTTTCCAGCCCGGGTCCAAACGTTGTAAAGTTCGATGAACCGACGGCCACCTAGCAAGATGGCTCTCACGCCTATGCAATATCGATTGCTAGACTAGCTGGACGATCAATGAGGCTTGCTACTAGGTACGGTAGGATGGCAGTGAGCTGGTTCATCCGAAGGATCGGAAGCTCAGCCACTTGGTCGTGGAGCACACTAAGGGCAGGGGATCCATGCCAACCCCTACCATTCTGGCCAACGAGAGCGGGAGCTTCAAGGGCCTCATAAAACTATCATGTGCCACGGCTAAGGATCCTTCGTCCTATTGATTTCTCGTCTCGAGTTTAGGTAGCACATTTACCAACCTAATTGTTTTAGAGGCTGGTTTCGACGACGACCGGAGAAGCACGACGACGACAAAGGCGCCTACCTGCTAGCGTCCTCTAGAGTGCTGTAATGGCTTCTGTCCTGTGACCGTATAGTTCAAGTTGATAGAATCAATCTCAACAAGAGCTTTGACCGGCCCCGGTCCAACACAAACAATATTCATAGCGCAATGAAGGGCAAAATCCGTGTGAACGTCAACTACTAAATCGCCATACTTCCTACAGCTAAGAAAACCAATCGTCCCCTTGCGATCTGGCAACAGCCACAGCTGTAGTGATTCCGCCTCCACATACGCAGCAAGCCTCGGATGCAGTATGGCCATCTTGTCCGGCATTGTACGAGCCATACAAAACACAGTTATTCCCAGCTTCGTACCAAAGACAGTCGTCACCCGCAGAGTCGATCCAGTTTGGTGGGTTGTCTAGGCAATCCAAAGGATGTCCTGCATCGGTTGCGTTGATCTGACTCGGCTGTCCGCGAGGGTTTGTGGATGGGTCGAATCCTCCTCCACAAGCACAGCACGCCTCGCTTGCTGTCTTGTTGCTCACACCGACATAGTCATCCCCAAAGAGAACGCAGTTATCGTCTTCTCCGTAGAAATCGCAGCCATCATCCTCCGAATCTATCCAATCGGGAAAGTCACTGCACCCTGGAGTTCCAATATAATCATTCATGGGCGGGAGAGTTGAGGATCCGCCACCACACGCACAGCAAGCTTGATTGGCGCTCCCCAACTCTGTGGTAAAATCGTCTCCATAGTACAGACAATTGTCGCCTTGAGAATACCACAGGCAAGTGTCACCAACAGAATCACGCCAGTCAATCGGGGTATCGTAGCACGCATCGTCAGCCAACACGGGGTCTGCCAACGGAGCTTCATCTTTGAATTGAGAATCAATGTTGGATCCTCCACCGCAAGCACAGCAAGCTTGGTTGGCAGTTTTACCGAAATTTCCATTGCCGCTTCCATAATCGTCACATCTTGTCCCGTCAGCATACCAAAGACAGCTGTCACCGTGCGCGTCGTACCATCCCAAGGGAACATCCGAGCATTCTTCGTTCTGCAGCAGACGCTCCACCTTGCCATTCTTGCTGTTCACTCTCGTCTTTAGCGCTCTGTTTACGACCACAGCATTAGCGGAGGACCAGCTCTGCTCAGGACTACCGTTGCAGTCCCAGAGGTGAAGAATGGGATCCCTTGTAGAGAACGCCACCTCGTTACTAGACGGACCAATGCAAACCTCATTGTTTCTCTTGGGTCTGAATGTGCCATCCGCGTCGTCGTGCTGGAATACGAACCTGTCATCATTCGCAAAGCAATCATTGAGGATCAAATTTGTCCCCTGGCTGGTTTCTCCAGCCGATCCAACAACACACTTTGTGACATCAAGGGCACTTCGGATGTAGCCGTTATTGTCGACCCAAAACTTCTGCGATGGTGTCTCATCACAGGGACTGAAGATGATGTATGCGCCATTTCTAGTTGAGGCACGATTCACATCCCAACAGTTCCCAGGGCTATCCGCATTCTGAAGCACCCGAAATGTAACCCCTCCGAGAGATCCACCGCCACAAACGCAACATGCATCATTCGCTGTCATTCCCGTCACCGCATTGCCAAACCCAGCTCCATATAAGGCGCAGGCATCATATGAATCATTGTACTCTTCGTACCATTCGCAAGAATCGCCTTCAATGTCCACCCAATCGGGAGTATCTGTGCATCCACCACCAGTACCACTTGAACCAGAACTCCCACCACCTGTGCCCCCGGTTGAGCCACCTGTAGTACTAGCAAGGATGCATTCATTCACTAGACACGTCATAGTGCCCTGACATGCATCGTCATTACCGTTGCAGCCGGTTGCCCCTTCCCAGCACTTGCAGTCTGTTGTGCACGGATTGGCGTTGTATTCATCAATGGAGCGAGGGCCAGAAAGGCATTGATACAATAGGCGTGTCTCAATCACGTCCTGATCTGATGCTCCATCACGCTGTCCAATGTTAGCTGTGGGATCCCTGGGAGTGATCGTCGGCAAGCTACTGTCAATGGCAAAGGCGTATCCGTGGTAGTGCAGGACAGAAGTGTAGTCATAGTTGGCGCCCAAAACTGCGCTCGTCGACGCCAGTTGAAAGTTGTGTTTGTTCTTGTCCCTGATGTTTTCCATATGGATGGTAACATAGTCGTCTCTGTCAGGGCGGTTTTGTTCATGAGTAAAACCCAATGCATGGAGAAATTCGTGTTGAATGGTCCCGACCCTGACGCAACGAGATGACAAATTGAGCTCCTGCTCTTTGCCTGTGTGGCGTTTTCCAACGTAGGAGGAGCAACCACCACTTTTATCTACAGAAACACAACCAGAAAGTCAGGAACTCACCAGCCAGTTCACAAAGGCCCCCGTCTCACAAACTTACCCACAACATGAACGTATGCCGCCTGACTTGTTCGTTCCACAAAGCGAATTACTTTGGATCTTTCTGCAAGATCTCGGATACTTGACTCGATCATCTGCTTTTGAGAATTGGAGAAATACCTTGTGTCGATCTTGTAGGGAATCTGCACGACATCTCCAACCCGATCTTTCCAGCGTCTACCAAGGTAGATGCTCAGGGCTCGCGCCCCGTCAATGTACGGCTGATGGCCTCCACGAAGAGACGCATTGGTCGCGTTTGGGCCTGTAGCAATGGATGCAGCGAGGATGGACAGGAAAAGCAAGGCAATCATCATCATTTTCGTTTTTGTCTCTTATTCAGTTGTGGCTTGCTTCTCCGACCTTGGCGAAGAAATGGAAGAAAAGGAGGGCCAGCAGGATCCAAATTGGCTTTGTCTGGAATAATGCCTCCCGCAGCATAAACTCCAGGAACATAGAGTCAGCAGTCTTTGACAGGATATATGCAGTTTGAGCTACCTGGGAGTTTATTCGGCTGGATTGGGCCTATTGGATTCGGAACCAAAACAGATCGGACTGAATTAGTGTAGCATCCATGTTCGAACCACATGAAAGCTCGAACTCAACCAGCGCTGACATCAGAAGCAACTAATCACAAGATGCCTCAGGGGTATGAATGGAGGGGATCACAAAGTCTCACAGTCAAGAAAAAGAGAGCCGTCTTGGGAAAGAGACTTGGGTCGAACAGATCCACCAGAAGTGGAAGAGGAGTCTTGAATCGAATCTCAGGCAGGGGCCACCTGAGCTCTTCCGAAACACGGAGCCGCTGCAGCAGCCACCAGTTCATTGTGGAGGCATATCCTAGCATGTCATATCGGTAGCTGGCTTGGCTATTGTAGCGGCACCAATAAGCATTAAACGGCTTCACCATGAGTTCCCTCACCTTCTGCATCTCTGGTATGCCGATGATGCCAATGCTGCCGGCAAATTTACTGATTTACAATTGCTTCTAGACCTTCTTATTCGGCTAGGCAAACCATTCGGCTACTTTGTTCAGCGCAATAAATGCAAAATTATTACTCACAGTGCCAATTTTCACACAGCCACCACTCAGTTTACGCGTACCCGCGGCTCTCAACTCAAAGTCACCAATGGTGCCAGATTTCTCGGTGGTCATATCGGCGAACCTGAAGCCCTTTCCTCCTGGGTTGATTCCAAAATCACAACTTGGACGGCCTGCATTCAATCTCTTTGTGAAGTAGCTCAGTTCTACCCCCAGTCGGCTTATATTCCTGCCAAAAGTCTCTCCAATGGAATGGCAATTTGTGAACGTGTCTGTCGTGTCCCTCGGACTCTTGGCTTCCCTTGGAAAATGCTCCTGGATTTTGAGCTTCCTCCCCGCTTATGGAACCTTCATTCAAGCGAACTACCCCCCCGAGCTCTCACTTCCCTCCCAAACAAGTTTGCCGGCCTTCTCTCCCCAACCCCTTACGGAAGCCCCCCTCCGCTACATTGCCAGTCGCGAAATTACTTCGGAAATTACCCGTCCCTTCTTGCCCCCTTGCCCTTAATCCCATCCCCCCTAGCCCTCTCCACGACCCTGCCACCCCTTCATTGAGCCCCCACGTCATCCCTTCAGAATCGAAGACCATCGCACAGCCCTCACAGAAGGTCGTATCAGCGCCACCAAACGACATCACGACGCCTACCAAGCGGCTTTCGAGACCCATCAAGCCACTCTCATTCCGGCTGAGCAGTCCCGCCTCAATCGCAGTCGTTGCACTGCTCCTGGCTTGCAGTCATGCCGATATTGCCAAACGCACCCACCTCTCTGCTCAAGAATGGCGTGATGCTCTTTTTCTCCGGTTCGGTCTTACCCCCCAGCTCTTCCAGCACTTTGTGATGGCTGTACTGGTCCCCTTCAGCGTTCCACATGCTCTGGATTGCAAACGCGGCGGCTTAATCATCCGTCGCCATAATGAAATCCGCAATGAACTTGTTTCTATTGCTGTGAATGCTTTTGGTTCCTCTAGCGTCCAGTCAGAACCACCCTTTCCCTCTGTTCCCGCCCCTACTGTCCCTGCCGGTCACCCAATTTCTACCTTACCTCCCCTTCCTCCCCCCCTCTCAATCCCCTCCAGCCCCCGAGCTCTTACGTGGTGATCTTTCTATTCGCGGCTTGTTTGAACGAGGTACTACAGCTATTATTGACGTACGTGTCACTATTTGGACTGTGCCTCTTACCGCAACAAAGATCCCGTCAAAGTTTTAACCAACAAGAACGCGACAAATTTCCAAATATAAAGACGCGTGCGAGTCCAATCGCGCTTCCTTCCACCCCTTGTTGTTTCAGTGGATGGCATGCTTGCCCCTCAAGCCAAGACTCTCTTACAACGCCTTGCTTCTGCTACTGCCTCCAAAACTCAATTTTCCTACTCTCAAATGATGTTCTTCATGCAGCCCCGTATCTCAATTGCCCTTGTGAAAGCTACCCATTTATGTCTCCGTGGATCCCGCAAAGCCAAACCCTTTGCCCCCCGTAATGGTCCTCAATTTCTTGCCCCTGATCCCTCAGAACCTAGTCCTGAATTTCGACTGTTCTTTGCTTAAGCCTGGCCCCGGCTGGCTTCCGTAGACAATTTCCCTACTCTAAAATAAAAAAAATTTAAAAAAAAAAAAAATAAGCCGATGGCCGATCATGGTGTCCATCTTATTGCTCGAGGCAGATTGAAAGATCTTCCGAATATCGGATACAATTCGATTCGATTCGTCAATTCGAATGAATCGAATATCCTGTGAGCAAAGCATTTAGGCTTGCAGAGCTGTTGAGAGTTGCAATTCCTTCCAGTTTCTTTTCTTTTGGATACAGTGTGCAGTACTTTGTACGCGTACTCTGTCCTGCATCCCTGAGCCACATGCATGCAGGCAGATGAACTTACTTTAGCTCTGATGAAGAGCTTCATGAAATCGGCGAATGAAATTCCTTACGTACTCCTGCGGGAGGAGTCGGATAGCCTAGCTAGCCAGCAACTGAAATGCCAGGGATAGAGCACACAATAGATTATGCAGTTTAGTTGAATAAAAATGCTGGTTGGATGGACAGCCAACATCCGGAAAGAATGCGTGAATAGTGGTGGGAGTTGGGCTGTGGTTTTTAATACATTTGGATCCCTTACGTCCTTCCTCCCTTCCTTCTCCCCTCTTGTTGGCCTGCTCTTCTATGGCACTTCCAATGGTTCCCTGCCGCCCTACTTCCTTGCATGCCCTGGTTTTCCTCTCCTTTGCATTGCTTAGTCCTCGCATACCGGTAGCCCCTAGTACCAGTAGTTGCTTGCCCGACTCACAATACCTTTGGCCCTGTGCAGGTGTACGTTCATTATTTGTGTTTCTAGTTGGCTTGTGTGTGACAGCACTGAACGATTGATTCGATTCAATCTACGCTAGCTACCCAAGCTAGTAGAAGCCCATACACACAAAAATGAAGCAAAGGCTGTGCTTTTTGCACTCCTGGGCTCTCATGATTTTGACGCACACACTGTGGGAGGGGGGAATTGGCTCTTTTGACGCCACACCGTCAAAGATCCATCTCTTCCTTCACAATGAGCTCCACGTTCTGCCCAGGTTTAGGGGAGAGATGTGTTGGCGGCACTCGTGGGTGAGGGGGGAAATACATGCAACGAAAGCACGGGATCAAAAGCAGTGCTACCAGTAGACCGTAACTGCTGGGCCCAAATGATACTATTCACGCGCATTACAAAAAAACTAGCTATCCCTTCCTTTTCTATGAGCTCCAACTTTTGCCCAGGTTGAGCGGAGAGGTGTCTGGCAGCTTTTGTGCAAGGGACAAAAAAAACACGAACACGTGAATGAATGAACTAAAGCTTATTACAAGATATCGAGACAATGGAGACGATCCAAATGTCTCTACTACGGCACATTTTTGCCAGAGCTACCACGGTTGTAATTCTTTTTCTTTTGTCGCTCGCTCGCTCAAACAGAATGTTTACCGCCGCTTGGGTGGACCACCCCGATTCACGCCATTCCCTGCAGATTTACCGGCGGTTCCGCCGGCTCCTGCCTTGGGGGGTGCCTTGCTCTTTCCGGGTCGAGGCAATTTGCATCCTAGCTTGCGTTCCAACTTGGAGATAATCTGTGGATTGGGAATGGCTTTGCCGGATTCGTACTCTGCGACAACTTGAGGTTTCTCGTTAATGGCAGTGGCCAATTCTTTTTGAGTCATTTTCTTGGCCGTTCGGGCTTGCATAATGGCTTTGCTCAGGGATTTGTCCACGCGAGCAATTTTACCAACGTCATCGGCTTCTTCCAGTTTCTTGGCGCTCAAGGCACCATGGCTGTGTGCCGACTTGTTGCCACCGGCTCCGTATCTGTGGTTGTCACATAATTGATTGAATGAATGAATTGTCGCGTTGCAAATAAATAAAATAGAGCGAGAGAGGAATGAAATAAGGTTAGGATCAACAACAACAATAACAACAGGACGGCGCAGAAATAGCCATAATCAGTCAGTCAATCAAACGCCATTCCTACGCACTTCTTCTCCGTGGCGACCAGTCCAGCAGCTTTGGCCATGTCGATTCCACGAGCGGTCTTGGGCTTGGAGGATTTGGCTCCCAGCGTCCCTTTGCCAACATTGACGGCACCCCAGTCTTGTCCGGACCCTGGATTATATTGTTGCGGCATCTTTGTCGATTGATGGATTCGATTCAGGTAATCGTTGGTTTCTTTCTTTCTTCGTTTGAGTTGAGTGGTTGCTTTCGAATTTGTGTCTTCAATTGGGTTGTGTTGTGGTCTTTGTCGGTGGTGGGATTGGGTGGCCAACGTAATGCTGTGTCCACTCACTTTGCTCTTGTTTGGTTGCTGGTTGTCATCGTGCTTGGGTCATGGGGCGGCTGTGGGCAGGTTTCAGACCCTCGCACAGTGACGTCATCAAGCGAAGGTCCAAGAACTCTCTCGAAGTCTTCATGATAGCTACAAGCCAGCTTTCCGTTGTCAAAAAAGTCGTTTCGGCTCTCTCCTTGAGGGCTGAGGTTCAAAGTCAAAAAATTCCAAGGGAGACATTTTCTGAAAGAGCTACTGTACATCATGTACGGTACCGTATCCAGCAAGCTAGTCTAGTCTATGACATGTAGAGTATCCCAACTTTCTTTGTGTTGCTCAAAGAACAGGCTCGCATCAAGATGAAATGTTTCCATTTCCATTGGGTCAGCTATTGGGTCATTTCCAAAGCCGTGTTCGACTTCACACTCTTTTTTCTTCATTTCCAGTAAGGACGCTGCCTTTGGATGAAGTCAGGTGCAATTTGGAAGCACATTGTTGCCAAGGGCTAGGGCTTCTTTTGAAGCTCGCAGATTTCCATAAACTAGGGGAATCACTGGCCAATCTCTGCTGATCTAGGCTCATAGTTATGTTTCTGTTTCATGCTCCTCAACCCGATCCATTCCCCCAGCCCGCTTTTCCCCATGAACCGACTGCGAATCCGTTCACTCGCTCCCCAGCTCTATCCAACTTCTGAAGACAGACTAGCTAGCCAGAGGCATGGTTTTTATTTTGTACTCCCACAGATCAGAATAACTCCCACACCAATCCCTCTCCCCTCATTGGAACCCGACAGCACCTTCGAAAACGTCAGCACTCTGTCGTCAGTCTGGTCGCACACTGCTTCATCAATGACGCGAAACATTCTCCTGACGAGACCTGCATCATTGCTCTTCCCAAAGCTTCGACAGCAGCAAACAAACCCAAAAGAATGATGTGGCCGCATTGTTGCCCTCATCCCTTCATAAAAGCACCAACATGACGATGATGGCGAGAGTGGGTGGTCGGTTGGTCTGCTTTGTAGCGGCGCTCATTGCTTGCTGCCATTCGTTCCAGCTCCACCCGAGGGCTTTGGTGGTACAACGACCACCACCACCAAGTTTTGTCAGCTTTGATTCATCCTTTGGGAAGCATCATCGGCAGCCGTTGCGTAGAAGCGGAATCTTTGCTGCCAGCGTTGACGAGGCCGATCTTGATCTACCGGTAGAAAGAAATAATCTAACTGCAGCTCTGGTGGAACAGGAAAACTCGGCTCTAACAGAAGATGCTACCGCATTGGCTCCTCCACCACCACAATACCCGCCAACGCCCACACTTCGAGAATGCCTGGCATTTACGCTACCCGCATTGGGTATCTACACGTGTCCTCCACTCATGTCTCTGATTGATGCTTCCTTTATTGGTCGGCTGTCCAGTTCCCTGGAATTGGCTTCCTTGGGTCCTGCCAGTACCATTAGCGACAGTGCTCCTCTCCCCTTGTTGTTTCTTTCCATTGCCGCCACCAACCTGATTGCCAAATCCTTTGCTCAAAATGATACAGAAGCGTTGGCGCGTGTCACCCGCACGGCATTGACCATGGGAACCGTCGGTGGGATTGTCACAACAATACTTCTCTACCAAAATGCCCTGCCACTCTCGTTGCTGTACTGTGGTGGCAGCAATTCGGCTGGAGGATTGGCTGCCTATTGTACTCAATATGTTGCCATTCGAGCATTGGCATTGCCCTTTGTCGTGGTGACGACCATTGCCCAGGCCATTTGCATTGGGACCAAAGATACAAAAACGCCCATGTTGTCGGTCGCCCTGGCGGGTGGGTTGAATTTACTTGGCGATCTCATCCTCGTGGGATGGCTCAAACAAGGCATTGCCGGAGCGGCATGGGCCACGGCCGTGTCACAAGTCTTGGCGGCGGGATTACTACTGCGTGTATTGAAGAAACGTGGTTTTTTGGAAAAACAACAACCACAATCCACTCAACAGCAACCAGGCAGTAATACCAAGAATGCCAAACAATGGGATACGGCCCAACAAATCTTGTCGTTTGTCCCCTTTTTATTCGTCATGTCGGTCAAGATTGGATGGCACAATTCCTGTGCGGCCACGGCGGCGACACTGGGAGGTGCCCAAGCGGCGGCACACACGGCACTCGTCTCGGTGGGGATGCTCTGCTTTACATTTGGTGACGTAGGATCGTCCTTGTCGCAAGCATTCCTGCCAGCATTTGTACGACAACCACAACAACAATCCACCGCAGAGGAGGAGGGCAGGAAGAAGAACAAGAATGAACCGCTCTTTGACTTGGATGCCGCCATGCCCACCATCAAGCAGCTATTGAGATGTACGCTCAGTATATCCACCACAGTAGTACTCTTGTCGTCCATCATTATTGGAATATTCGGTGGTCAAATTACAGGAGATCCATTGGTGCTGGCCGAAATGAGAAGAACACTGCCGTGGATTGCCACGGCCCTCAGTCTGCATGGGACAGCCGTTAGTTTGGAAGGCTTTCTCTTGGCGCGCAAAAAACTGAGAGGGTTGACTGTCTTTTATACATTCCTTGCCGCCACCATTGTGGCGTGGCAGTTCTTTACCCGAAGGTGGGGACTTGGATTGGGAGCTGTCTGGGGGTGCTACATTTGGGTGAGCGGATCGAGAGTCGTTACGTTTGCCGCACTTGGAGGGTTGCTGCGACCGCAACGAATGTGGAAGAGCCTGCGGCAAAAACTGACAAGCAGGGCAGCGGCTGGAACCGTATCGTGAGAGTGCCACCAGATGTCCCAAGATGAGCGTTGGTGCTGCTGGCAAACGAACCAAAAGTAAGATTTGCTGTGTAAAGATGATAGGTGCAGCACGTTTTACGCTAGTGGCGTTTCAAGCAACTGCAAAAGGGAACTTTCAAGTGTTGTGAAATGCGGTAGACTCTACAAGGAATAGCTTGACTTTCAACTTCTCCACGAGCTTCTTGCCGGTACTACATGTACCGCATTAGCCACCCCTGTTTGTAGCCGGTATGTAGAGGGTCGGCGTTTTACCAACTGCTCGGCTTGACCCAGCTATAGTACTGTTGCGAGATTGAATGAGTGACGATGTTCAAGACACCTTCGACAAAACTGTACAATTGGTTCATATGCTTCGACCGAGGCTGGTGCTCCTTGGGGTCGTAAACTTCCCTCGACCAACAGAGTGAGCGCGGTAATCTGGGTTGCAGAACAGTGCATACTGAAGCGCTCCGACGAACTCTCTAGCCACACTACGCAGTCATTGATGCCTCCTTTGGTTCATAGCACTCGCTGACCGACCGAGCGCCATCGAGGAACCTGGTGGTTTCCGCTAGACCCAATAGTTGGGTTGCAAGACAGACAGCGACAATCCTTGTGCTACAATGTGCCGCCCCCGACTACCGGTACCGCAAAGGGCGGTACAGGCGCATCCAGGGCAATCTCTCGCCATCAAAGTGGAAAGAATTGAAGCATTGAGGAGGTGAAAGCTTGTCTAAGGACTGTATGCAGCTCTGAAGGTGATGCACTGCCCGACCAACGACGGTGTGCTACCTCCATATCTGGAATCTCCCATGACTCCCTTGCGCACTATGGCGAATCTGATGTGAAGGCACTCTTCGGCTGTCTACACGCGCGAGCAGAAAGGCACCAGTCAAAGCAGAGGAACGAATCGAATCAGATGTTTTCCTTCTGAAAGGTTGTGGAGTGATCACCAAGACCTGTCGTTTCGTCGCCGAAATTACTGGCGAGTCTCAATCGTCACGAACAGAGTCCTCAACAGTCTATCTGGGCTTGATCAATTGACCCTACAAGGGTAGGCTAGTACATCAGATACGGCATGCGTTGGTACGTTTTAGATTTCCGTGATTGTTGAGACCGTGAACTCAACCACCGTTGTGTTATTTCAACAGCAACACGGAGCTGGGAATCCGAGGGAAGTGGAGCCATGCTGCGATACAGTGAGGCGCTATGGATTCGGCCACTATTTCTGGGCTGTAGAAGACTCAACTTTTGTGCACGCAGGGACCATCGGCAACTCTTGACGAAGACGACAGCTAGCAAGGCGGAATAAGCATGATGATCAAGTGCAAGTCATTCTGCCGAGTCGTCATTAGTCAGGCGTGAAAAGTGGTTCACCAGCCGAACAATCAGCACTGCAATTTGGCACTGGCTACAGGAACACTACACGAGAGTCCCGACTTGATTCGAGGTCGGCTTGGTTTGAAGGGCTATTTGGACTGTGCATTGTTCGGGAAGACTCAGAACGAAAGTGTGCCAAAGTACAGTCTTGGCTTCAGAATGAGCAATGCAATACTTGATATAAACGGGAGCTACGCGTATTAGAAGATTCGGTTGGTTCGTATTCTGGTATCCGAGGATTCTTTTGAGGAAGGCCGTGCATACGGAAGTGGATGGTAGGACGAAGGCTCCGGTAGGGAGGACAAGACTAGACACCAATCAATCTACCAATCTATATCTTGGTCGTAATTCGGGCCGCAAGGGTCTGTTAGACCATTTTCGATCACGCCAAGCTGAAAACGCTGGATGGTACCCAAATGTATGTGTGGAACATGACTGGACCTTGAGAGATCTAGAGATTGTGAGCAGTCAAGCTGCAATGTGAGTGATGTTGTCGACGATGTTTGCTGCCATACAAAATACTACCAACGACTTACATTGGCTTGTCACATCCTTTTTGCAGGCGCCACGGATCTGACCAGTACCACCTGGGTGATACTGCATGAATTCTCCCAAGTCATAAACTTTGTCCATGATGACTACGGGACAGTCGGCCCCTGGGATCTTGTCAAAGTTATCGTAGGTATAGTGCCCTAGGTTTTGGGCATGAAATGTTTCGCAAGATGTGGGCGGAGGATAGACACAAGGATCAACATGCGATTCTTTGACAACTCCCACAACGTATCCTGATAGGACATTCATTCCGCCCTTGGTGTGATCTGGAACGCACTCGCGTTCTTCATCAATAAGTGCATCGAAGTTCTGGGTCATGTCTTCTCCACACCATCGCAAGATCTCTTGGGGATACCAACCGTTGCCATGCTTTAGGTAGAATGGAGCACTTCCGTCCAAGGGGGAAACGCCCAGATCATATACCCAGTCGTGAAGGATCGTATAGCAGTGAGCGGATGTATTGGTGGCCATATCAACGGGGTACTCTTCTAAGGTTGCTTGAACTTGCTCCAACGTCCAACGACGATCGAGTGGGAACATGTTCTTGTCAACCAACTGTGGGTCCATTGGGAGCATTTCCTCGTCGTTTCCGAGAGCCGAGCAAGTGATGTTGTGGTACACATCGCAAGCGTCGAAGTCAGGGTAGGGATAGTGAGGTTCGACCCATTCGCTTTGAGCACAAGGGTCTTCCGGGCTGTCTTTGATGACGCCCACAATGTAATTGTGACACATATTGAGCATCCCTTCAAAATGATCTGGAACCATGGCAATGCACTGAAGGTTTTCGAACGCCCAAGTGGCGTCTTTGCGGCAATTCCTCAACATTGCTTCAGACCCTCCTTTGTGGATATAGATGAACTCGTCGAGATGATATACTCGATTGTAGAAGACCATGTTGCAATGGGTTGTGTTTTGCTCAACCTGATAAGGGGCGTGGCACCACAATATTGCCTTTTTGTCAGTGGGGCTTTGATGCAGTTGACAGCTCAAACCAACTCGAATCAATGATTAGATTCGATTCAATCTTACCTCTCTCATGGTCCAGAGACGAACCGGTTCATTTCCGGGCCTTTCGCAAACCTCGAAGCCATTTTCTGGTTTTGCCAGGAGCCGGCCCGTTGCGAACGGGATCAACAGGAGAAACCCAACAAGTTTCCGTGGACAAAGTTTCATGGTTGGTGGATGTTGCTTTGATAAATTGCTGAATGCACTTCTTGTCGTCGTTTTTATGGCAACCGAGGGTAGGATACGCGACGACAGAGCAGGCAGCTTTTTGGGAGGGCCTATCTTGCATATTGGTACTAGTACGGTACGGTACAATAGTTTGTGCGAATCGAATCAGAAGATGGGAAGCGAACTCGTTATTCCCGAACCTCTTTCACGTTGTGTTTCCCGGTACGGTCCGGTACACTACGAGCACAAATTAGAGTTGAGTTGCTGCCGGGCATGTGCCATAAGCTACACGACATTGTAGCGCTCTTTCGAGTTGATGCGAAGCTGTACGAGGCAATCAGAACTGGATGGGAGGGTCTCAACATTTCAGCATCCTCACTTTTTGTGCATTTGTGTGCGCCAAAATAACGGCAGAAAGAGAACCCCCCTGCTCCCAACAAGCTTCGCTGCGCTTCCGTGATACACGCAGTCTACCAGTACCGTACCGGCCCGATAGATAGCGTGTGCCGGGTACACTGTATCAAGCTCGGTTACGCTCAGGAAAGACCGGAAAGCAGCGCACCCGCGAGGTAATAGGTACGAACTAGTACCTGGTACGGGATCAAAGACTATGAGCGCCTCCGACGGAAGCACAATCATCCAAACAAAGAAACGGTGCGAAGCTCCATTGCACGGTGGCCAGTGACGCATCTCAAGGCGTTGAAGCAAGCTGTGCCGGTACTGCATGTACTACATGTGTTTACGGAACCGATCTACTGTGCACAACTGAAATGATTCGGTAACAGTGGAACCCAAACACCGATCACTGTCCTGCAAAGTGGATTCAATCATTCCAGCTGATCTCCGTCGCAATTATTAGACACCAGAAGTGGCAGGCAAAATTTCACCAACACAGGCACCGCGGGGCAAAGATCCAACGACAACATCAACTGGTTCGGGTGTGATGGTTCCTCGGGTGTTGACAAGGGTAACCTCAAATCCCATCTCTTCTTCTTCATCCTCCTCCTCCTCACCTGGAAGTGTAATGTAGCTTTGTGTGAGTATTCAGACCGCAAACTTTTTAAGCCACAAAATGGACACCGCTTACCAACTTCTTCACCCTCGTCCTCCTCCTCATCGCCTAGGTTCAGATGCGCTGGTGAGCTACCCGACATGTTGAGAATGCCAAAGGCTACCCAGAGTCTGAGGGCTTACCTTCCTCGGTTTCGCCTTCCTCTTCTTCTTCGGTCTCGTCCTCCTCCTCTTCTGGCTCTTCCTCTTCTTCTTCTTCCTCCTCCTCTTCTGGCTCTTCTTCGTCTTCCTCCTCCTCTTCTGGCTCTTCTTCTTCTTCCTCTTCTTCTTCTTCTTCGGGCTCCACTACTGTAGGTGCCGGTGCAGCTCGAGCGATGTCCACTTCAGCCACGTCAAGCTCGGGAGCCTCGGGTGTCCTAAGGGTGAAGAAGTCCTCGCATCCACAGGCGTCCTCGTTCGCGAGATCTGCGGGTTGACACTCATCAATTATAGATGACAACTTGTCGTTATCCCAAGCGTTCATGAAGTCTGCGTGAAGGGTGTCGCTGCCATCAGACAGAATGTGTTCGCCGCCGGGATAGGATTCTAGGCGAACAAAGACTTGGATTTGTGGGAAACGGCCAGCTTGATGACTTGAAGGGCAAGGGCCATCGAGGGTCCCGTCAGTGGTGTAGGCCACATGGCTGGAGTGATCCAAGCTGTCCAGCTCCCCATTCCAGCAAATGGGAAATTCCATCCAAATTGAGAAGAGTGGGCAGGGGTTAGAGGGGAAAATCTGGCCCGTTTCAGAGCCAAACACACAATCCTCGTCGGTAATGCTGCAACACTCTGAATCCGTAGTGGAGTCAGCTCCACGGCCACCAATCATCACCAAGCCTTTGGGGAACGGGACAACTTCAGCACGTCGGGTGTCATCAAAGCGGTAGTATGTTGTCGTCGAGCTGATCATGGAGCGGGTGTACGTCTTGATTGAAGTGACCGGATCGGTATCCACTTTGTAGACCGTAGGATGCCAATACAACGACTATAGATCTGGTTAAGTATGATATCACAAGATAATCAACACATCGGTGCGGCTTTTTACCTTGTTGTCAACAACCTGTCCGCTGGTTTCGCTGATTGGAGTTGCTTCAAGGTCCGCAATAGTTGTCTCCGGACGGAGCCTACCAGGGCCATAGAAAGTGTGAACATGATCAGAAAGACAAGCTGGGTTGATGATGGGATCGGTGCGGACGTGACCAATGGGCTTGTAGTCCAGGCACCACTTTACCGGGAACGAGGCAGCAGATCCCAACGTCAAGAGCAACGCCAAGGCTCGAGGAAACATCTTCGAAATGCAAGTCATTAAAGATCGATTCGATTCAATCCCTTTTGTCGCTCTGGAGGATTGTGAGAGCATCCTTGATTTGGAGATTGCAGCGCCCTTTTACCTTGTAAGGTCCCATCAAAGACTTGAAGCAGTGTTCCGAACGATCACTATAATTCCATTACGGTACCGGTGCCCACTCCCTAGCTGGCTGGTACTTGGCTCCGTACGGTAGTTTTACCTTACCAGAGTAAAAATATTATCGGAACAAAAGATCAAAGCAGACGTCGATCCTTGTGAAGATTAGTTTGTTAAGTACCTTGGCCCCTTTCGGGAAAGCCAGGACAGCTGCGGGAGCTCTGCGGGGATGTGCTTTTTTTCTAGCCTTTTACGGGCCAAGGCGCTTATCTATCGAGTCTACAACCGTACTTGCTTGTACTCATTTCCATACTTGCTTGTACTCATTTTCACACTTCCACGAGGCTAGCTACATGTACATGTACCGGTACTACCGTAGCTAGCTGCTGATAAATGGGTGCCTAGCTGGCTAGTACCGGTAGGCAGCCAGCAGATTCGATTCCGCATTCAGACTAAACGAAGATGGCGCGCAAGGAGGAGGCGCAACAACTCGCGGCGGCTTCCTGGCTTAGCGTGGTGTGGCGCAGAGGAACCAGCCATACCAACCGAAGACTGAAAGCAAACTACTACTAGTAGCGGATTTGGAAGCGTCTCGGCTAGGAGTAGAGAGGCTCGTCTCAATCGGCAGAACTTACCACTCACCATACATGTAGGTTGAAAATGCTCGGCTCTTGGTCTTGACCGTAGCTACGAGCTACATTGGGAGGGATGACTACGATGTACCGGTGCGCATCATACCCACTGGTGCAAGAGATCACAAAAAAAACTGAACGTCTAATAACGGATTCAGACGAGATGTGCTTGAGGACTACCCACGAGCTAAGGCTCGGGTATTTCCCACAGTCAAGTCTGCTCACCGGCCACACTGGCCTCCTGAGAGGGTG